TTTCTTTACGTTAACAGTGGGTAGCTAATTGGCTTTGGGAGGTGCAGCAAGTGCTGTCAAAACAAGTGAAACTCACAAGAACATTGTACCGATGTTGATCACTACCTTGTTTTTTCTCTGACTATAAAATAAAGCCTCAGCTTGCTGGCTGGATCCTTCTCTGTGGCCTCATCCAGGCACGGGAGATCCACCGAGCCCCAGCTATATTCTCTTCATCTGTCTTTCCTTTAATCCTTCACCGCTCCCCCCCGCCTCCCGCCCCGCCCGCCTCAGGCTCACTGAACCCTTGGCTGTGCTCGCATGGCACACGCCATTACTTTTCAGACTCTGTCACTGAAGGTGGAGCTTCTACTAAGCACATATTTACATGTGACTGGGAGGGACACAGCCCCTGTAGCTGTGGGAAGGAGACCCATGGGTGTCACAGGAGACTGGTCCACTCATGTCCGGTTCCCCTGGTGCCTGGGGGCGGCGGAGGATAAGCCACACCTGGAAGCTTTATGGTGCTAGTGCTCTGCCTCCTGTTCTACCTGTGGCCGGTCTCTATTTTCCCTTTGTCTACATCTTTTCTTCTTAGTATTGACTAGTGCTTTTCTTTTGGATTATCTTAGATTTAATTTTAACTTCACATTCTGAAACTGTTTCATTTCATATTCTAGGTTGCTTTTGTGAGCATTGTTAAATTCTAGTTTTAGTCTTTTATAACCAGCTGGGGTCATTTTTATCTTTTTGAGGTCTGAATGTTATGAACTTGATTATTTGGGGTTTTCTGACCTTTCCATGAGGGCTCTCATCGATGTTTCTATCCGTCTATCCCTCTCTCTTCCTCTCTCTCTAAAAATCAGCAATAACATGTATTTTTTTTAAAAGTGGAAAGGTCAGCCCAGCTGGTATGGCTCAGTGGTTGACCATCAACCTATGAACCTGGAGACCACAGTTCAATTCCTGGTCGGGGCACATGCATGGGTTGCGAGCTCGATCCCCAGTGTGGGGCATGCAGAAGGCAGTCTATCAATGACTCTCTCTCATCACTGATGTTTCTATCTCTCTCTCCCTCTCCCTTCCTCTCTGAAATAAAAAGAGAGAGAGAGAGAAACTAAGGAGAAAATAAATAGGACTATATCAAAATAAAAAACT